AAATTCAGCTGCAGAGCCATAGCCAGTTTGGCTCAGAGGATAGGCATCAACTTGCAGATTGAAGAGTCTTGATTATGGTCAAGGGCATGTATCTGCAGACTCAACAACTGGCCCTCAGGTGGGGTGCCTGTGGAAGGCAAGCAATTGATGTATCTCTATCACATCAATGTTTCTCTCTCTCTCTCTCTCTCTCTCTCTCTCTCTCTCTCTCTCTCTCTCTCTCTCTCTGTGTGTGTGTGTGTGTGTGTGTGTGTGTGTGTGTGTGTGTGTGTCCCTCCCTTCTAATCTCTCTAAAAATCAATAGAAAATTATCTTCAAATGAGGATTGACAAAACAAAATAAAAAATTCACCTGCAGATACAAAATTTTTCTGGAAACCATTTCAAAGTTTGTGTATAAAAATATTTGTAGATACAGGTGTTAATTTTCACAATAAATGAAATAGGTTTTCTTAGCTCAGTTTTGCAGATTCAACACAGAAACCCAGAAAGGTTAAATTAAGTTGTCTAAAGACATACTCTTAGAGTGATCAAGCAAAATTTAATACCTTGTCTACTTGAGACCCAACCACTACACTGCTCTAAATGATGCAATAAATAAATAAATAAATAAATAAATAAGAGCTACAATCAGTTTTACAAAATATACAGAACATATTTCAACCAGAGCTTCCACTGAGGAAAAGGGAATAATATTAAATTGTTACTTTGTGAAAAAAGGAGGCAGGTGGAGGGAAAGAGGAAACTGAGGAAATTTAATTAATTTGATTTTCCATTTTGCTTTCCAGTGGCAAAACTCAATGTAGAGATGGGATCTGACTAATCCAATAATGCTAACACCAACTCCCAAAATAACATTAATGCTAACCCCAGAAATGCTGTCTCAATATCTCCAGTTGTTGATATAACCAAATAGGCACTAGATCTCATTCTATTCCCTTTTTTTTTTTTTTCTTTTTTTTTTCTTTTTTTGCAGAAGTTAGCATCACAGGATTTACCTTTTTTTCTTCCTGGTAGCCCTGGCCCAGAGTCCTCAGTAGCTCTCCCTGCAGAGAATCTCTCTTAAGCCCCCACATGCCTTTGGTGGTTTTCTGGAGGCTCCAGATCCTCCTGAAGGCTGACTTTGAGCTGGCACAAGGAACCAACAGAAATGGTTCCAAGCCTGGCCTGATTGGAGTCCTAAATTCCCCAGATATGAGGGCCTTTAAGCCATGTGGGAATCATGGTAAAGAAGGCGGCTTCAATTATATTAAGTGAAATAAGACAGTCAGAGAAAGATAAATATCACATGATCTCACTCATTTGTGAGTGGAATATAATGAGCAACATAAACTGATGAACAAAAACAGATCTGGAGACGGGGAAGCATAGATCAGATTGTCAAACCTCAGAGGGAAGGTAAAGGAGGGTGAGGGTAAGGGGGAGAGATCAACCAAAGGACTTGTATGCATACATATGAGCCTAACCAATGGACACAGACACTAGGGGGTGATGGCATGAGTAGGGAATGGGGGGACAATGGAGGGATAAGGACATATATGTAATATTTTAATCAATAAAGGGAAAAAAAAAAAAGAAGAAGGCAGCTCCATCCTGAAGCCCATCTCATGAAAGAAGTTGCCATCTTAGGCCACCTAGGCACCCAAGTGCTGACTGTGATAGTAATTGCATTCCAGCCTAGAACTTTGGATCTTTATAAATTCAGTCAAATAATTGGTTTAGATTGACTGAGTCCTCAATGGACTGAACCATTACATATACATTGAATTTAAAAATTCAATGTTACTCTTCATTTCTTCTGAATTTAAAATAAAAATACATGCTCGATTATTTAAAGCCCTCACAATCCAGGCATCTATATTGAAAAAGTTAAAGATTCCTGCTATGCCAAGATGTAAACTCCATCAAAAGTTTTTATATTTCCTTCCAGACCTTTTTTTATGCACCTATAGACATATACTCTCCCTCCCTCATGGAATTATAGTCTACACAGCTAATCTCCAACTCCATTTTTCCCCAGTTAGGCATTGTTTCATGTCTAATCATAGACATCTATCTCATTTTTAAAAAATCTCCTGTAAAATATTTCATATTAAGCATGAACTATCATTTATTTATATGATCCCTTACTAATGGGCAAGTAGCTTGTTTCTAGTTTTTGCTACTATAGACAATGCTAGGTTAAATATCTTTTCTCAATTATGCAAAAGGTCTCCAATATTTCCAATTTCTTTTTCCTTGGGAATTGGTAAGAAAATCCTAACTGACCACAGCAAATATTTGTGCAGTGGCATTTCACATTTCCTTTCTTAACTTTTCAGGCTCTGATGATCCCCTTCTGTGTGTCCTATGCACCCTTCACCACCTACCTATCAACCTGAGCCAGAGGTTGCTTTATATCAGTACCTTGTTATATCTTTTGCAGAGTAATTCCCAGGCTCTGTCAGCATTCTTTCCCAAAGATATTCTCTGCCCAAGTCCTGCTGCCTGCTTTCTCCTTTTCCAAATGTAACCCAATGTCCCTGAGGCCTCTAAGGAACACAGGGTAGCTATGTTTCTTGGGCATCTAGAAGTCTCTCTCTCATTTCTGAGCCTTACTTACTCTTATTTCTGCTTCTTTTGTGAGTTCAGGCAGCCTTCTCATGCCTACTTCTTACCAAACCTAGTCATGAAGCTCCATCCTATCTCCTTGAGGAGTCAGTGTTTAATTGCATTCTGGTGGTGGGGCAGGGGAAGAGTCTGACTGAGGGCAGTAAATCCATCCACCATTCTTCCCTCTGACACCCCTCATACTGCACTGCCTCCCTCACCCTTTGGTTCCTTTGACGAGAGCCTCCCTGTCACAAGATGTCCTCAAGAAACATAATGTCTCATTTTACAGTCCGTCAGGTTGGCCTGCCTCATCAGCCCATCTTCCAGGTCTGTTAGATTATAAGTCCATCTTGTCTTGAAAAAGTACAACCTCTCTATTCCAGAAGCCCCAGAGCTCTAAGTCTCTGTCTCTGACCATCTCAGCAGCTGCTTCTGCAGTCAGCCTTCATCTGGGGCACGTGAGGCCTAGAGCTCTACTCCTTTGTGCAGGAAGTAAAACTGCTAGATTCCTCCATTGTGTAAAAGAACCACTTGGGCAGGGATGCAAACAAAGTGCTTCTTCCTATGCAGCCCTAGTGGCGGCAGTAATTCAGGACTTGCTGTTTCATGCCCACTGTCCCCTGACCCAGCCTCCTCCAAACTCCTGCCTGATGCCAATGACAGTGTTCTGGTTTCTGGGGGAGGTATGTCCACCAAGGAGAAGTTAGCATGAGAACTTTAAGGCACAGGGTGCCAGAAAATAAATTGAGACACATAACTTGGAAGTGACTCTGAACTGGTCTAAATCTCTTCATTCAACCACTAGGCAGTAAGGTGAGTTCTCTTGAATAGTCTCTTGAATAGTCTTTTTTAGCATTTTATTATTACTATGCAGCAGTTCATTCTCAAAGCTGTGTCTTGGGCAATGAATAAGCAGAAGTCTTTTTCCTTTTTTCCCTCATTCTTTCCTCCAAGTTGCCCTTTGAAAGTAGTCAGAAAGCCAGATACTATCCTGAGTTATCTCATTTACTACTTCTAACAATCTTATGACATGAGTATCATTCATCCACTTAAAAATGAAAAAAAAAATTTGAGTCTCAGAGAAGATGCATAATTAAAATCACACCACCAGTAAATAGTGGATCCAGAATTCAAACCAAGCTCAGAATAACCCCACATCCGTGTCCTTCTTCACAAAATAGACTGTTGATGAGGCAGGAACATTCTGATTCAGTTCTCATTCTTAGGTGCCAAGGTTCATTGAAAAAGTTTTTCTAATCTAGTTGTAATTTCCAAAACTCAGAAAAGCAACATAATGAACTTAAAAATAGGTTTTAAAAGTCAATGTTTACACTGGGAAATCTCATATTAATTAGTTAGGAGGTGGAAGACAGGAGACTTTTAAAAGTGTTTTAAAGGGAATTTCCATTTTCAAGGGTTTTGGAGGCTGACACCATATGCTTTTTTTGTTTTACTTTTTGACTTTTATTGTGAAAAAAAAAAGGCCACTTCTAAGAAAAGATTATGAAACATGAATATGTACAATGCTGCTAAAAAATAGAAAGTTACCAGTAACTAGAACCCTTCCCCATCAGACAGCATCTGCTCTTTGGTTGTCCACATTTCTGCAATATAGACACATTCTTTTTCCTTGATGCTGTCAAGACTCTTTGACTTTGATTAAAATCATTCTAATGATTCATAAAAGAACAAATAGAAGAAGAAAGAGAAAACAATTCCTGTGGTAATGGGACAAGAACTAGAAGAAAGGAAAAGAAGCAGACGATTGAAGAGGATAGATGGCTGACTGGATAGATGGATGGATGGGTATTTGTGAGAAAGCTGTTTTCTGGGGGAAGAGGTATGAATGGAACTAAAAGGGAAACAATGTAAAAACAAAAAAAACAGGTGTGTGCTTTGGAAAGAAAAAAAGATGTGCTGGTGAAGGGACAGAGGCCCCAAACTCTGAGCTGTTGGTTCTATCAACTGGAGGCTTAAGCTGTTCTTTGGAACAAGTGAGGAGGAGGGAGGGGAGAGAAGGGACAGGGTGAGGGGAAAGGGCATTTGGGGAGAGACCCTGTCACCCATTTAGTCATCTTTTGGGAGACATCCCTTAGACAATATCTGAGAGTGTGAATCTCTTATCTCTTCTAAACAGAAAGATCAGTTCCCAGGCATCATTTTGTTACTGGTATTTGGGGGTGGGGAGGGTATGATAAACATGACACATGAAGTACCATTGAGTGAGTGTTGAAGCAAGGAGGCAAGGACTGCAAATACAACCGTAGCAACCTGACTAGTATCTTAGCAGAAGAAGTAATTTAGTATAGTCTGGGAAGAACAAAAAGGACTCATAACAAAGCTTTGTCATCAAATACATTTATTTAGTTTATGACTCCAGTTTACTTCACTCTTTTTCTTTTCCCCCAGGAGCCTTGCAAACAACAATCTCCAGACGCTCCCAAAAGATATTTTCAAAGGCCTGGATTCTTTAACAAATGTGTAAGAGGACCTGAATGATTAATTAATTTGTAATAGTTAACAAAGAAGCCTGGTATTGATTATTAGAATTTTTAATTGGCTTTAAAATTAAATTAGAATTTTAGAATTTAAGTTGACTTGAATTTTAAATTTACTTGCACTGTTTTTCTTCTATAGTATTTACCACTAGACATTCTGAAAATATAGTGCCCAGACATTCCTTTGACAAAGTGTGTGTCTGTGTGGGAGGGAGTGATGATAAAGAAGTTTAAGGAGTGGAACCAGGAGGCCCAGATAGAAATCTCAAGATGCCTTTTTTCCCCCCAAGAGGTCCAGGAAATGGGGCTACAAAGGAAAAACATAAAGGAATCTGGGGATCAGATGAAAGGTTACACCCATGTGTTGGTCAGTCAACAGAGAGATGGAGCAGGAAATGGGGGAAGGGAGGAAAGTTTGCCTTTTCTCTCATTAAACTGAACAACAACTCTAGGCTTAATCCCCAGGAATTTGGCTTAAGCCCCAGGAAGGGAATGAACTTAATTATTTTTGACCCCTTTTCAAACAAAAGAGCTTTCAAACTTTGACTTTTAAGCCTCAGAGTGAAAGATCTTTGTAAGGAATTTGTATATTTTGCTATAAGCAAAGCAAGTAATATATGCCTGAAGCTCTCAAAAGCAATTTAGCTTCATTAAGTGCCTTCCAGAACATTTGAAAGGTATTTAAATTCCATAAGGTAGAATTCAGGAACAAATGAAAGGACATAATGAAAACAAAAGATTTCTTATTATTCAGGTATTTTGCTATAAACTATTCAGAACAACTTTTCTCCAATAACAAAAAATCTGAGTCAAGTGTTTTCTCCTAAGCCTAGTATTTAAGTTCAAATCAGTAAACTACTGAAAAACTTTCTTTGTTCCTTGTAGTATTCCCCCAGCCCCTCCTTCATGCCTATTAGCCCAATTCCTGGTTTATTTCCAAGAGAGTGCAGGGATCAGGACATTTCCAAGAAAGTCTCTAACAGACCACAGTTATCTGCTCTGGTTAACAATAGCCCAGAAAAGTTGACACTTATTTTCCGGGTCAGAATATTCTCGGGAGATTAGGTCAGTACTGGCAATGTTTTAGAAGTTAGATGATACCTCATAGCAATTTGAGGATACAGCTTATTTGGGACCCTTTGTCTTATCTGTATGTCAGCCTATACCTCACACTAACAAAAAATAAAAGAAAGCCACTTGAAATTGTCTCAGTCTCTCCAGGGAATCCCATAATGGGTTTGGCGTCTTGGGCCTACTTTGATATGCCCAAATCAAGAATTATCTAAGAAGTACAGGATTATGCCAACTTGACTTTTAGTGAATTTCTTGGTTTTCTTGACTATGTCTCTTGAAAAAAAAAATTCACAGCTTCTACATTTCAAAAGATTTTTATGTGCTGTGTGAAGAGTAGGCAATAATTACTGTACAAATTCTGTGCGATGAAGAAGGGTTTTAGGAAGGAGATGAACAACAGCAGTGCAAATAGAAATTGGTAAGTTGGAATCATATGTGGAAATTTAAACTCTTTAGATGTGTGGTTTATTATGAACATGAGCTATTGCATGTCTGCATTAACTCTGCTTGCCAAAGTCATTTCCTATTAAAATTGAATTTGTAGGCCATGAAATAAGGTCAGGATTAATTATGTCTCTGAGGAAGAAGAAAAGCAAATAACACACTCCATTTAATTAAATATGATACAATAATCACTACATACTTTCCTCTAGACCTGCACTGTCCAGTATAGTAGCCTCACATGTGGTCACTGAGCACTTGAAGTGTGACTGAGGAACTGACTTGTAAATTTTACTTAATTTTTAAAAATTTAAACTTAAAAATTGATTCTCGGTTCAATTATTGGAAAACTTTTAAGTCTCTGTGCAACAACTTGCATGTGTGAATCTATTTTTTTTAATATATTTTATTGATTTTTTACAGAGAGGAAGGGAGAGAGATAGAGAGCTAGAAACGTCGATGAGAGAGTAACATCGACCAGCTGCCTCTTGCACACCCCCTACCAGGGATATGCTCGCAACCAATGTACATGCCCTTGACCGGAATCGAACCCGGGACCCTTCAGTCCGCAGACCAACGCTCTACCACTGAGCCAAACTGGTTTCGGCTGAATCTATTTTTTTAACTGGAAATTTTATTAAATCTTAAGAGCACATCAGGTATTTCTGATGAAAATTTAGCATCCAAATTGAGATATGTTATAAAATGAGTATAAAATATACATTAAACTTAAAAGACTTAATATAAAAAAGAATGTAAAATATTTTATCAATAATTTTTATGATGACTGCATATCAAAATAATATTTTGCATATATCGGGCTAAATAACATATAATATTAAAATTAATTTCACCTGTCTTTGTACTTTTTTAATGTGCCATAGAAAATTTTAAATTACATATGTCATTCACATTATATTTTTATGGACAGCACAGCTCTAGACCCAGCTACCTTTGAACCTAAGAGCGAGTAAGTTAGGAGGTTCCTTTGACTGGGGTGGCCTGTGAGGGTACACTGTGGTAACTGAGCTCAGAGAGAATTAGTCAGGTTCAAGGTGGATTCTGGGGCATTCTGGCACATGCTAATGGCTGAAATAGAAGTTATACTGTGAAGGTAGGATTCACAGAGAGCAAAAGCAGCTGAAGTTTGTCTTTCAGGGACCTCAGAGGGAATTCATTTAATTGTGACTGTAAACTGAAGTGGCTGGTGGAATGGCTAGGCCACACCAATGCAACTGTTGAAGACATCTACTGCGAAAGCCCTCCAGAATACAAGAAGCGCAAAATCAATAGTCTCTCCTCCAAGGATTTTGATTGTATCATTACAGGTAATGTATTCTAAGTTTTTCCACTGCATAAAATTAAAAGAAGGACTACACTTTTTGCATGTGCAGGAACTGATATTTTTATATCTCAAAAACCAACTAAGCAATTTAATTTTTAAAATATTATGAACCCTTAAAACATCATGCATTTAAAAGCAAAGTAAAATTGTCATTTTACTACTTTTCTAAAATAAATGTGTTATGGACAGCTGAGAGCTAGCCAAGGAGCTAGACTTTAGCATACAGATACTCATTGTCACTTCCTATTTTTGCAGAATTTGCAAAGTCTCAAGAGCTGCCTTATCAATCATTGTCCATAGACACTTTTTCTTATATGAACGATGAGTATGTAGTCATTGCTCAGCCTTTTAATGGAAAATGCATTTTCCTTGAGTGGGACCATGTAGAAAAGACCTTCCGGAATTATGACAATATTACAGGTATGAGAAGCCTAATCATATTTTGAGTGGAAAGTTAAGCTGCTTGGATCAAGGGCAACAGGAAAAGATGAGCGATATTGTGCAGGCTTTGAGACATTTGAATCCCAACTCTGCCATTTACTGAGTGACCTGAAATTGTTCCCTAAACTTTAATTTCCTCACTTGTAAATCTGAAATAATAATACTTAACTCACAAGGTTGTCAAAGATAATGCAAGCATATACTCAAGAAACATACCATAGTAATTAGCTTAGTAAATATGCAACAAAAGGTGGGTAATTTTTCCTCAAAGAGAAAGCATTAGACTAGGATTCATGAGTTCTAATCCAGGTTCTGCCACAAACTGGGGAAGCCGCTCACTCTCACTGGGCCCTCTTTTTTCTTAACTTTAAAATAAGAAGGTTATTTTAGATCATTGAGTCTCAAACTTTGTTGCACAAACATTACTTCTTTAAAATATCAGTGTATGCCTGTGACAAAAAGGGTTTTGTGGTCAAATACATCTATGAACCTATCTCCCTCTTGGAGATACAGAATAATACACATTGGAGGCCTGAGAAGTCCTAACAGTGAAAAAATAAGCCTCTTTCCAGATTTTTTTTGCATTTAATTTGACCATGGAAACCAATTTTCTTTTTTTGCCAGCAAACTTATACTCAGGTGATCTCTTAGGTTCCTTTCTCATTTCAACAACTTGAAATTTTTTAAGTAATAAATTAAAACATGGGACACCCTGTGAAATATTTACATCAGCTTTAGTTTCTAATACCTTTAAATCTGATCCTAAAAGCTCCTAGACAAAACGGAGAGGGCCATAATTAGATTTTGTTGGTGGTCATCGGCCCCATTATTCAAAGGACCAATACAGGTCTGAGCTTGCTTGAGACAGAAGTACCCAGATGAATAAATCCCCTCCTAACTGATACCCTTTTAGAATCCTCCTACTTTCTCAAGAAGAAAGGCTATGCTTCCCTTTCTCCCTAAGCCATCCTTGTTTTCCAGTGGATTACATTAGGTATTTGTGTAATCTAAACCAGTTCTTTTTACCTATTTATATTCCATCAATTGCTTTGTTGTTGTTGTTAATCCTCATCCAAGGATATTTTTTCCATTGATTTTTAGAGAGAGTGGAAGGGAAGGGGAAAGACAGAGGGAAACAAACATCGATATGAGACACATAAATTGGTTGCCTCCCACACATGCCCTGATGAGACCGGGGATGGAGCCTGCATCGGAGGTTCATGGACTTGACTAGAATCTAACTGCAGATTCTTCAGTTGAATGCTCTAACCACGAGCAAAACTGATTAGGGCTTGAATGAATCTTTAGCTGAGCACTTGAGAGAGAAATGAATCATGTACTTGCAACTTCAGAATGCATCATCTAGTATAAAATGACAGGCAGACGTCATGTACATGGTCAGCATCCCATCCCTCACCCCCAGTCAGACATTGCTAATCTACTGTGGTGCTCTTTCTTGCAGAGTACAGCAGTGGCCACAGAATGCTTCTCAACACAGTTCTCCAGGCAGTTGCTCTTACCATCATCAGTCAGTCATTGTGGGTACATAGTTAAAATCTAGTGACCAGCCCTGATATATTTTCAACTCTCTCTGTACAAAAGAGAAAACTAAATCCCACAGAAGTAACTTTTCCAAGGTCACACACTCAGTTGAGTCCTTAAAAGGGTCACAAATAGAGTAATTTTGACTCTGGATGAAATCAATTAGTAGAAAGAGTTGATGCAGAATTTATTGCCTCAGTGCCCCCTAGGCTGCAGGCAGAAAAGACCAGGGGCCTAGATTTGCCCCGCTTCTCTTTGGATTACCTAGAACCAAGCTCCCTCGAGGAGTTCAGAATATATTAATAAATATTAAACTCTTACCAAAAAGATACTGAGCTAGGCCACTGACAGACCTCGTGTTGTTCTCTAATATTCCCAGTGTAACATTCATAAGCATCATCTCCATCTTCCTTCTCATCTGCCATCAGTGACATGAAGATGCAGAAAAATGCCACGTGGCATCACTTTCCTTTTTCAGGGGAAAGGTTATTCAAGAAGTAATTTGCACTTAGAAGAAACCAATTACAAAGCTATGGGCTTCACAAACCACCACTCAAACCTCCTAGAACCTTGTGGGATCTAAGCCCAAGATGGAAACCCTGGAACACCTACCTGCCCACCCCATAGCGATGCTGGTACGCCTGGGTTTGAATCCCAACTCTGCCTACTCCTAGCAGCATTGAACCTCTCTGAGCTTCAGCCTGCTCATCAACAAAAGGGAAGATAGTAATATTCATTATTTAACCTTTTGGAAAATTTTAATGAGATGATTTGGCAAAGCAATAGTCGGTGCTCAATAAATGGCTGTTTTCACTACAAAGATTAACTAATGATGTATTAGGGAGAGCAATGCTTTCTTTCTGCAAGAAATGAGAGAAGGAAACTCAGGCTATAGCCATGTATCCTAAATATCTAGTGCAAGTTAGATGTAACATGACAATGTCTGCATGCTCCAAAAGAGGATGACCATCCAGCTAATCTCTCATTTGTCTTTTCCCAGGCACGTCCACTGTAGTATGCAAGCCTATAGTCATTGAAACTCAGCTCTATGTTATTGTGGCCCAGCTGTTTGGCGGCTCTCACATCTATAAGCGAGACGGTTTTGCGAATAAGTTCATAAAAATCCAGGACATTGAAATTCTCAAAATCCGAAAACCCAATGATATTGAAACATTCAAGATTGAAAACAACTGGTACTTTGTTGTAGCTGACAGCTCAAAAGCTGGTTTTACTACCATTTACAAATGGAATGGAAATGGATTCTACTCCCATCAATCCTTACATGCGTGGTACAGGGACACTGATGTGGAATACCTAGAAATAGCCAGAACACCTCAGGCACTCAGAACGCCTCACTTAATCCTGTCTAGTAGTTCCCAGCGTCCAGTAATTTATCAGTGGAACAAAGCAACACAATTATTCATTAACCAAACTGACATCCCTAACATGGAGGACGTGTATGCTGTAAAGCACTTCGCAGTGAAAGGTGATGTGTACATTTGCTTGACAAGATTCATTGGTGATTCCAAAGTAATGAAATGGGGAGGCTCCTCATTTCAGGATATCCAGAGGATGCCATCACGAGGATCTATGGTGTTCCAGCCTCTTCAGATAAATAACTATCAATATGCAATTCTTGGAAGTGATTATTCTTTTACTCAAGTGTATAACTGGGATGCAGAGAAAACCAAATTTGTGAAATTTCAGGAATTAAATGTTCAGGCACCAAGATCATTCACATATGTGTCCATTAATAAACGCAATTTTCTTTTTGCTTCCAGTTTTAAGGGAAATACACAGATTTACAAACATGTCATAGTTGACTTAAGCGCATGACATACCAGTTCTGTGGCTGCCATCAGAAACTTTCTACAGTACATGGTCCGGATGAACTCAATGCATGATAACTCTTCTTATCCCACTTACAAATGAATGCCTTTCAAACATTGAGACTGCTAGAACCAAGCACTACCAGTATCCCCATCTTTAACTGTCCAGTTCGGTGGTGTGGGAAGTTACCTTTTATAAGAGAAAATTGAATTGTGTAACTGTTCTTTGCAGTGAAGATGTGTAAATAAGCATTTAATGGTATCTGTTACTCCAAAAAGAAATATTAATATGTACTTTTCCATTTATTTATTCATGTGTTCAGAAACAACTGCCAAATAAAATGTTTACATTTTCTTTCATATCCCAAGGTAATTACTTAAGGGAGTTTAGTTTTTTTCTTGGTGATGGTGTATTAAGGAAATAGTTTTATACCATAAGGTTCTATTTGAATTAAGAGTTTATGTATGTTGTGACTGAGTGAAGGTGAAACATTGATATTGATTACCATAATTTATGAAAAGGTTCATCAGTTGATTTTGAACATTGAAAGATGTTTCCAAAAGTCATGGTTTTTAGGAACACTTTGAGGTAAAGTGGTGACAAATTAAAAAAGGGTAGAGAAATTTGCTTATTACAAGAAGACTAATTTGAAATAAAAACTGTAAGACCCATCCTTTCCTATTCAATAGCTGCAGCTACAGCAATCATTCAAACAACTTAAAGGATAAGTTATAGCCAAGATTTGGGATTTTCAAAACCCTCTTTAGGGATTTTCTAACTATCTGACTTTAGAATCATCTGACAGCTGATTGAGATTGTAACCTTAAAGCACTGGCCTCAAATACACTTGGAATGAAGGCCTCTTGATCTGACCAAGGACTTCTAGGCCAAGTTTGATGTTATTGACATGCTGCAGAGTGCCCAGGAGAATCATATTTGATTTTCTAAAACCCTGCTCCTGGATCACAAGGGTCAGTAGCAAGTAACACAATGCCTGTGCACTCTGTGGGCTCTCGGAGGTGCACATGTGTCTACTGTTAGAATAATACACTTTATGAGGCCCTTGGATCTTACCAGTCAGTATGTATTGAGTACCTAATTTGTATCATTCCTGTGGTGTTGGGGGGAGAACTGAGAGAGGGTAAGGCACGGTTCTTGCCCTCTGAGTTCTTAGAAGGCTCATTGGCGGGTTAGGACACAGCAGAGCAAGCAGTAAGTGGCAAGTATCATCTGAACATCCAATTGTAAGTTTCAGGAGAGCATCAGAGATGTCTTCCTGAAAGAAGTGGTCCTTGTTTGAACTTAAGGGAAGATAGGAGTTTAAATGGGGATTACAACAGAGAAAGTATTCCTGGCACTTGGTTCTGCATGCTGCCTTTATGGAAGGGAACAGAGCTTCCTCCAGCTTCCCCTTCCCCAGAGTATTTGACCAAATGATTGTGGGAAGGTGTGGGTAAGGGGACAGCAACACCTCTGCCAGCACTTACCTGGAAAACTTGAGGCATCAAAGGTACACAGCTCATTATAGAGTCTTCCAGAAGCAACACCTTAGGGAGTTATGCACAGGAACCTGACTCCTTTATAACATGGCGAAGTTATTAACTCTGATATCACGGTTATGGGGGAGGAGGATAAGGCTTACCCACTCCTGATCCTGCACATAGGGGGAACTGGCCTTTGACTGCATTCCTTTTCTCAGTTCCTATTTTCTGTAAGCAGTCTATATGCTGTTGGAGAACACCTGCTTTGTAGAGACAGGGATCAAGTCCAACTTTGTCATGTACTGGCTTTGTCCACAGACAAGTTACTTCCACCTCTCTGAGCCTCGGTTTCTTCATCTGTAAAGGGACAATAATGCCTACTCCAAGGACATGGAAGAATTAAGGGGCACGTGGCAGATGGAACTTTTCAAATATGGCCTAACTGTATCTCCCATCCCACATGTGCTATGAGAACCTGGCCCGCATCTCATCAAGGAGTGGTTCCTAATTCCTCTGTTCTTAATTCTGGATGAGCAACCAATAGAATGCTGAGGAAATTATGCAGTTTGATTTTGGAGGCTGGGTTACAAAACGATGATGCTTTTGCCTTGTGAACCTGAACTGCCACGGCAAGAGTCCTACCTGCTTGTAGCCACCATTCTGTGAGGAAGCCCAGGGTTTGGTCGGCAACCTCAGCTGAGATCTCAGCATCAACCACTGTCATCTGAGTGATGGCTCCAGGGAATTCCATCTCCCAGCTGTCAAGCCACCACCAGCCATCAAATCTTCCCAACTGAAGCCCTGGATGTTACGGAGCAGTCAAGCCATCCCCAGAATCACCTACCCAAATTCCTGACCCATAAAATCTATCACATAATAAAATGGTTGTTTTAAACAGCTAAGTTTGGGGTGCTTTGTCACACTGGAGTAGTACTGGGAATAGCACTTGAAGTGCTTAACCCACAATTGGCTAATGATCCCACACCCACAGTGTATGATTTTGGGTCACACTCTTCCTTTATGTCTTAATGTAATTCACTGTCATTTCATTTTTAAATGCTCTCTTCTGTTTTCAATATGTTATCGTGTTCTTATCTGTGCCGGGCACTGTGCTGAGTTGAGGGATGCAGGCATTAAAGACTTGCTCTGCTTGTTTTCTTAAGAGCACTAACTATTCAAGTTGGCAAACAACTCTCTAATTTACCTCAATTCTGAGACCTAGAGATGTGAAACAAGGTTATTTTAGATTAATACCTTTAAATTCGTTATTTTTAAACTGAAGAGGTGAAGTAGGCTACCATCTGGATCTCCTGACATGTCCAATCCTTGGTCCATAACATGGCGCTACCTTTCAAGACCGCCCCCTTCATTTCAAACCTGAGATGTGGATGGGGAGAGGAGAGGAAGCTGACAGAGAAAATAAATGTTAAAATGACTGAGGAGAAGGACAGATGGTAGAGTCCACTTTTGCAGGAATTGACCAGTCTTTCCTATGAGCTGCCCTCTCTTTCTGTGTCCCTCATCTACCCTACACTGTACCACTCTCCAGCCACAGATGATTGGGCCTGGAGTGAACTCCTCCTGGTCCATGTGTTTAACCCAGAAGCTGGGCTGGGCTCGGCTGGGCTCAGCCTGAGCCAGTCGAGATATCCCTCCTGGATATTTGACATTGGGGCAGCAGAAGCTATGTCTTTAGCCAGAGGCACCAGATTTGAAGGTGATGATCTTATATCAGGTTTCCTCCAAGCAGCAGGATTGGAGGAAACTGCGTGAGTGCTTTTTCTACACCTGAAAGATGGTGAGCGGGGCACAGGGCAGGGAAAGATGCTATGTCAAGATGCCATTTCAAAGTCTGGCTTCAGTACGACCCCATGGGGAACTCTATAGCATGAATTGAACCGCTGAGCATATCCTGCCTCTAGGCAAGGAGGGTGGACTTTTATAGCCTCTGATCTAATAGTTAATATCCAAAAAGTGTGGGGCATAATCTCCAGCAGAGAAGGTTGGCTAAGGGCAATGCTCTGCACAAGGGTACAGCTGTGAGCTGTTAAGTAGCACCCAGGTCTGCTGCAGGATGGTTACATCAGCCTACTAAAGGCCATGCGGGTGGGATATCAATAGCATAAGCCACAATGACACTGCCTGGGGAGCTGAAGACACCATTTTGGAGCAGCCATGATGGTCCATGTACCAGAGGAGCAGAGAAGGTTGGTCTCAAAAGTGAGTAGGGAATGAAGTAGAAGCTCAGAAAGAAGCAAGAGTGAGAAACTACATAGTCTGAGGGCTGGAGAGAGGAAAGGGGGGTAAGAAAAGGGAGAGGGAGAGAGGGAAAATGGGAGTAGAAAAAGGAAGTGGGGGAGTGAGCAGAGGAAGATTGGGAAGTCTGGTGTCCCTGAGAAGTTAATGCACAAATCTTTATTAGGTAGTACCCTTGAGAGCAACATCTGGAAGGGAGGGGAAAGAAGAATTTGGCAGAGAGAAGTTGAGCTGTGTTGCAGGTCCCATCAAGGTAACCCTCTAGTGCTGAGAGGTCTCTTCCCAATTATCCCAAGCTGGAGCAAGGGGACCAGAGCTTTATACCTTCCTGTTGATTACCCATTAGATGTGGCCATCCTTGGGAGAAAGTATGGCTTTAGATGGGGCTGTTTTCTTAGCCAACGCAATCCCCAAAGACGGCAGACAGCAGAGGTTCATTTTACAGCCACAGCTGGAAAACAAACCCTTCATTCTTGAATGAGGATGGGCGGTGCAACTCAGCCTCAAATTGCAGAGGAAAGAGACAGGAAGAAGGGTGAGTGAGAGAAAAGTGAGGAGCAGCAGCCTGGATTCCATTTCCTGCTTCATCCTCATTAGTACCTGCTCTTGAATTTCTTTAGGTATTTCTGTAATCTTTTAATAAAAACCACCACCACTTCCCCCCACCACCACCACCACACACACATACACACTTTTATTTTATTTTTTTGTTAGTTTGAGTGGATTTCTGTACTTGCCACAAAGTTAGCTTCCACTAAGTCAGGATGTTTAGGTACAATGGACTATAATATAGATGTGTATAGATATGATGGTGAGTACTAGATATTTCAATCTCTGCTATTCAAACTGTAAAACTTCTATTAATCTAGCCTCAAGTTCATCAGTTCTTTCCTCTGTTATCTCCAACCTCAACTTTCTTGAACAAGAAGTATTATTTCAACTAGACCAGTGCTTCTCCACGTTAAATTTTTTCTCAATGTTTAAAAAGGTTTGGACCATAGAGATTTAAAAATCTCCAGTGCATTTTAGACCAATGTAACCTGTTTGAATTGTGAACCAATATTTTTGGAAGTTAGAATAAAAGTGAATTACTAGAAAAATGATCACTTGCTTGGTTTTTGTGGTCATGTCAAACGGCCTATAAAAGTTTAGAAGTGTTTCCTCTCCAGTTCTGTGCTTATCTCATCCCACACTGATTCTAAACTTTTCCTAGACTGGCACTGCCACATCTATAGGTACACTAAACTAGTCAATTAGAGCTCCATGCAT